TCATAACCGACTTTGACTAGGAATCATCAGGTACACATAAAGACACATGTCCAAACATCTAAGTGTTAGTAGCATTAAAAATGTAGGAAACAGCATTTTTAAAATGAAATGGAGATCTTCTTTAAAGGTTAAAAACATTGAATATGGAATATGTTAAAGCTGTAATGAAATGCTTCTTCGAATCATGTGGTTATTAAAAAAAGAAACAGTCAGTCCATAAAGGAGCTTAAGTTCCCATGAAATGATTTAAATGAACTCTCATTAAAGTAAAACCATTTAATAAATCATGTTACAATTATAATGTTTAATTCATCTATGAATGAAATTACACTTAAAATTAACATTTGAATATGTTAAAGCTGTAATGAAATGCTTCTTCGAATCATGTGGTTATTAAAAAAAGAAACAGTCAGTCCATAAAGGAGCTTAAGTTCCCATGAAATGATTTAAATGAACTCTCATTAAAGTAAAACCATTTAATAAATCATGTTACAATTATAATGTTTAATTCATCTATGAATGAAATTACACTTAAAATTAACATTTGCTAGTGATTTCTGGGATCTACATATAGATCATAAAATCAAATAGATGCTTTTTCTTTTTTCTTACAAAATTATTATTAATTACTCAAGTTTCTCCTAAGGCATATTAGTTTTACTTTTGAAAACTCCAAATTGTTTCTTCCTTTCAGCTATCTTGTCTTAGTTTAAGCCAACAGATCTGTTGGAAGGCAGTGATTTAAATCTTACTCTCTTTAGCTAAAAAATTCAATAGCTATCAGAGGAGGCTTGACCTTTCCACAGTGTTTCCTGTAAAACACTGTGTAATAAGAACCAAGATTAACACTGATACTTAGTCTTTAGGATAGAACTCTTAACTGGTAACAAGTAGAATCATCCCCATGTTGAAAATACAGAACCCTCCAAGTAACTATTAATGATGCTAAGTTGAATCATTTGATTGGTGACCTCTTGGCTAGGAAGTTACTTTTCAACTGTACTAGTAGATCAATTGTGGAGTGACATTTGTTCAGCAAGTGAGCATTCCGGCATCCTACAACCTTTCATTCAGTGGTTTTGGCATACAGTGATGGCACAAATCCCCCCTTTGCCATTTTGCTGTAGTACAGCTCTCTTCCTCGCACTGTAACTTTGTGAACTGTAATATTACACTTGTGTTTAGTATCTGGAAGGCATCTCAAATTGTATGGCATTTAATTTTAAAAGATTTTAAAATACTGTTAAGTAGTCACTCGTTAGCAACAGAATTATAATTTTATTAGCACCGGCTACCAGCCCCATACAGCAATGGTTCTGTCTCGACTTTTCATTGAAAAAAATATGAGGCATTTGAAACTTCAGACTGTCCCAACAGCATCCCAGACCAGTGAAGTTAAAACCTGTAGGATGAGAGCCAGACAGAAGCACTGAACATTCCAAAGGTGATTCTCTTGTGAAAGCGAGGGTGAGAACTACTGTTCTTAGTGTCATGTCACTTCTTAACATTTTAATATTGGAAAAGATACACAGTTAAAATACATCAAAAATGTGGCACTGGGCACAGGGAGGAGAGGGAGGGAGGAAGGCAGAAAGGAGGGAAAGGAAGGGAAAAGAAGGAGGGAGGGAGAAAAGGAAAGGGAAAAGGAAAGGAAAGAAAGAAGAGGAAAGGGGAGGGAGGGTGGGAGGGCAGGCTGGCTTACTGTACTTCAAATTTTCAATCCTTCAAAAAGGATAAAATTATCACCAATCTAAACCACACTGTATGGGTCCTGGGAAACCAGGACTGAAAGTTTTCTCCAAGAGTTCATGCTAATATAATTAATTGAACAGAGAACCTATTTTAAGTTTGGGCTCTGATTTCCAAAAATCAAGCTACTTTTCATGACAGAGAAATTAAGCTGCTCATTTGGTGGAGAGTATAGGGAAGACAGCAGGCTCATTTTATTTTCCTGCAGGGTTATCTGGGTGAGAGTGTCCCTCTCAGATGAAACACTGATGATACTCGAAAATTTCAAATCCGTTTGTATACCACTTTTTCAGGCAGAGATTTATGGCATTTGCCCAAACTACAAAAGTAGAAGTTTCAAATAAGAACTTAACCCTTAAGTTTTATCCATCTTTCTACTAAATGTCAAACAAAAATGAAGAGGACATTCTTAATAATTAACTACAGAAGATCCTAAAAGCACAGTAGTTAGAATTAGGAGCCCATTACTTGCAGAATCCATTAGGTCCTCCAACTTGAATTCTCGTCTGCCCAGATCCAGCAGCATGGGCTCTGGCCTAAGTGGTGGGCCAGGTGTGGAAAACTCCAAACTGTTAACCAATGTCTAGAGGCTGGGTAGTGAGAGGTCAGGGCAGACAAAGGGTCATTTGGGTGAGTCTTCTTAGGAAGTTATCAGAACAATGACATAACAACAGGTGTGGCTGTTCTGGCAAGGATACATGAGTGTAGCCCCTGGATTTCTGGTCAGTAATGAGGTTATAGAATTTTGGCTGGAGTGAAAATGTTGGAGTCTGTACCTTGAACCCAAGCAGGCAGGCCAAAAAGGAAAGTGCTTCTGACCTTTCTTTACCCCCCTACCTGATGGAGAACATCAGTAAACTTCACAACTCTGCTTTAGCAGGTTTCAAGGCCCCTACCTACCCTTTCCTTTGTGGGAAGCTCATTGCATCAAAGGTTGTCCACAGTGTTAAGGATGCAGGGAGGAGCTGGAGTGCCCATCCCTAGAACGGGATAAAATGCACCTCAGGAGCGGTGCTACCCGATTTCAGTCAGGGGGGGGCACCAAAGGACCGACACATTTTCAAACACCAAACTTCTCAGTACCAGCATGTTACTGGACTCTGGGTATTTGAGACCCTGCCAAACAGGTCTCACTAATGAAATGAAAATAAATGCATTCAATGGTGTAACTGCCTGGCCTGATATAATTTAGGTTTTTCAATGGAAAGGCAGTTGTTTTTTGGTTTTGTTTTATCTTTCAGGAAACTCCATGTCCTATTTCAAGTTAGGCCGGCAGAGTGTTCTACCACTGAGCTACATTCCCAGCAATCTCCTATTTCAGATGAAGCAAAGCTGCTAACACAATGAGGTCTCTATAAAGGTTCTCTCAAATACCTGAGGCCACTTCAGTGACCACCTAGCTTAACTCGAATCCAAGGTGTGCACAGTGCAACTTAATCAGCGTTACACCAACTCTGCACAAACCCAAGTGACCAGGTGGAGCCCACTCTGAGCTGAACTTATCACATTCTCAGTAGTGGGAGAGACCAAACCTGTAGTATTGTCTTCAACTTGTTCCTCAAGGTCCTAGAAGCAGCCAGCTGGGAATAAACTTCAGGATAGACAACTAGGATACAGTCTGAGGATAGACTATTATTATTACCTATTAGAATCTTTTCAAGGAACTTCAACCTGTTAATCTTTGTTGTACTCATCAATAATCACAGAGAAATAGATGGACCCAGAAGCCATCTGCCCCACCACCGCCAGAAAGATACTGGGTGGCAACCCTCCACCACATACCCAAAAGGGCTTTGCTGTCACCATACCATTGATGAAGGCAAGCCATGGGTAGTAGAGTGATGTGGCTACAGCCATTTATGGTGATCATGGCTGCAGGAGAAGTATAAAACAGATGATGACTCCAAGTCACCAACAAATATTCTACACACATAAAAGAAGGCTCTATAATACTGAACATATATTTAATATTTTAAAATTATTAATTTCATATAATAAGGTATTTATGACTTTTAGGGTGCTTACCTTTTAGCAATAAATGCATATTAGAAACAACAAAATGACTGGTATTTAACAATAATAAAACATAATTTCATGCTTGCTGTAGGTGAGCAGTGAATACTTGGAGGAATCATTATACTGTATACATTCTACTTTTATATGTTTCCACAATAAAAAGTAAAAAATAATTTTTAAGTTCTTACAGAAAAATTTGTACCAAGAAGCTTATACCATGATATAGTGATGATTGATAAGTATTACACGTAAAATACCTTATGTTGGCCTGAATAGGATCAAAATGCAATGAAGAAATGCAAACAGGAGAATTCTATAAAGTATTATGCATCCACTGGTAGTTTCAATTTTTGAATTCAACATCTCATTCTCAAGGTATGCCAAAATACAGTTATCTTTAAATTATGACCTTTTTGCAGGTGGTCTTTTTGAGACAGGATCTCCCTGTAGCCCCAGATGGCTTGGAACTCGCTATGTAGACCAGGCTGGCCTCGATCTCACAGATTGCCTGCCTTTGCCTCTCAAGTGCTGGGATTAAAGGTGTACGCCACCACACCTGGCTAATGTATTACCTTTAAAACACACTATTGGACATGGGATCATCTGAGTTTAAAAATTCACTTCAAATTATTGAAAAACCCCTTAACTCTACAATTAAAGAAAAAAACTTTGTAGTTTGGAGAAATGGCTCAGAGGTTATAGGCACTGTCTGCTCTTGCAAAGGACCTGATTTCGGTTACCAGTACCCACATCGGGGCTCACAACCACCCGTAACTCCACTTTCAGGGGATCCAACACCCTTTCCTGGCCTCTGCAATCAAATGCATGTTATGTGGTACATATACACATATTCAGTCCCCACCACATACACATAAAACAAATTTTTAAAAGAATAAACTTTGAGCCGGGCGTGGTGGCGCACGCCTGTAGTCCCAGCACTCGGGAGGCAGAGGCAGGCAGATCTCTGTGAGTTCAAGGCCAGCCTGGTCTACATAGTGAGTTCCAGGACAGCTGGGGCGACGGGGAGACCCTGCTTCAAAAAGACAAAAAAAAAAAAAAGAATAAACTTTGTTCACAATTTGTGTAAATTAAACCTTTTTAGTCACTCAAGTTGAACTTGCTTACACTAGTATCTTTTTATATTTTTGTGTACAACATATACATAACTAATTTTGGAACTATTTGTGAGTCTGTTAAAATTGAGAATTTAGATTTTAAATAAGAAAGACTTCACAAATATCAGTGTTAAAAGGCTAATTTCATTTTACTCTTCTTTGCAAAAAACGAATAAGTAAAAACAAAAGAATTCACTTTGGGTAAACCTAACCTTCAACAGGAAGTTCTTTTTTATACAAAGTCATGAATAAATATACTCAATAAATGCTCAAAATCTATTAAGTGCTAGGCTCCATGGGTACAATGAAGATGACAGAAGCCTTGTCCTCTGGAAGATGGTTTTCTAGTCGGAGCTGAGAGCATGGTAATGGGTCATTACAGCAGAATGTGAAGCATGTGTAATCTTTTGTTTTAAAGAATAATTCTGAGGATTAGGGATCATCATGAAACAGCGTATTGCATTTGATGGAAATAATTTATTACACACATTCTATCATTGCCTTTGTCATTTTGAATGCCTGGAATACCTCCTTAAAATTCTGGCTTTAATGTTGTCTTTTATACTAAAAGGATTTAAAAAAACAGAATTACCACAGAGGAATATTGCTGCCCCCAATATTTTAGCAATGTGAAGGATACGTCATGTTTCAAAGCATAAACCTTTTATATGAAAGAAATATCCAACAGTTTCTTCCTTCTCTCACATAAATCACTTGAAAACAAACATGAGCTGTAGTATTTGGTACAGTGGAAAACATTTCTGGACTGTATCTTAATGCCCCTAAATGACTCATCTGACTATCTAGCAGTATATTTCTAGCAGTTGGTTTCCATATACCCTTAGCACATTTCATAGTCAATATTTTTAGTTATAGTACTTATGCTGACATTTGGTCAGAATGTAGACGTACATCTCTTTCTATAACTTAAAACCAACTGAAAAAGAAAACACACACCAAGATACCAAAATCTTTCATGCTTAAAGGCAAATGTATTCAGTTCCTTTCCATGTAGCACATAATAAGGTAATTACGTGCTGCTTTTCCAAATCAAGTTTGGAACAGTATTTTAAATAGGGGGAAAGGAACATTCTTGCTGAGCTATACATTCATCAGGTGAGGAGTGTACCAGGAGAGCTAACACCTATTGTTTCTTCCATCACATCAAGCTCATGGGAGGGCCTGTATTAACTTGTACCAGTGGATGCCTATGGAAGCTATTCAGATTTGTCACAACAGGGAGGAAGGCACAGGAGAAGAGGAAGAGGAGTCTCGATTGTCCTACATTGGAGTGTAGAAGCTGCTGGCAAATAAAAAACAACAACAGAAGTAAAGTTGTAGTCTTAGGATGCCATGCCAAGGAGAAAGCCTCCAAAGAATCCTCCAGTCACTAGAACGTTCTTCTTTACAAACGACACAACCTGAGAAAAAAGATTTGGCAGAATGGATTATTTTGCTAGGGATGTTAATACCATGAATCATTGCTATTGACTGTAAGTGAGGTCTTATTTCCTCAGATTCTAAAGCATCTACCTGTACCCTTCTACATTCCTACAAAACTTTCCATTCATCGAAGGCTCAGTGCATACATGCACAGGCACCCTGTATGGTTCCTTTATCTATGTATTATCAATCTCCTGACCATTTCCCTTAGAAAGCAAGTGTGAAATAATATATCCAACATCCTGAACTAATTATTTCTTTTTGGTTTTTTGTTTGTTATACATGTGTGTACATGTGTGTGTATATGTGGGGGGTTGTGCATGTGTTTATATGTATGTGCACACATGCATGCAGAAGCCCAAGATCCAGGGTCTTCTGAGCTCACTCTCTACCTTATATATGGAGGTAAAGTCTGTTGCTGGACCTAGAGCTTGGTGTTTGGGCTACATTTGTTAGCCAGATTGCCCTAGGGATTCTTGCCAGATCACTGGGATTACAGACAGGCCACCACACACACCTGGCATTTACATGAGTGCTGGGGATCCAAAAACTCCAGTCATCACACGTGAATGGCAATCATTTTACCCACTAATCCATCTTTGCAACCCTGACCTAATTATGTCTTGAACTCAGGCATAGTGTGTTCAACTTCTAACCCAACTGCTTGCAGTCCATCCTCTTTGCACCAAGTTCCTGCCTTATCTTCCCTGAAATGATAGACTGAAATATGAAACTATAAGTTGATAAACTTTTCCTCTCCTAAGTTGCTTTTGGTCAGGCAATTCCAGCAACAGAAATGATACTAAGATACTATGTCTCCTTGCCTCATTTCCATCCTTGCCCTTAACTCTCCAGAATTTCCACATTTGCCTAAACAAAGCACCACCTAAGGGGGAAGAAAAAATTTTCATTTACATTTTTTATGTGTGTGTGTGTGTGTGTGTGTGTGTAATGCGTCTGTGGGTACACATATACTTGTACTGAAGCTACAGGTCAACCTCAAGTGTCATTCTTTACGCACCATCCACCATTTTCTTTTTCAGACAAGATCTCTCTTTCACCGGCCTGGAATTTGCCAAGTAGGCCAGGCTGACCCACAAATCTGCCAGGCCAGGCTGACACAGGTCTCCACCTCCCCAGAGCTGGGATTACAAGCACATGACACTATCCTCAATTTTTTTAAGTTTAAGAGAAATTTTACTGATCCAAGAATTTCATACAAAGAATTTTGATTATTTTCAGACCTCCTCCATCTCTACCCTCACCCTACCATCCCCCACTTCCCACTCCCAACTTTGTGTCTTCTATTTGAAAATAGAAGAAGACAACTGAGGTGGAGGCTGGAAAAATCAGATCTCATTAGAGTGTCAGGTGTGCCAAAGTAAATGTGAATTCTATGGTATGGAACTCAGGTCCCCATGCTTCCACAGCAAGTGTTTTCAAACTAAGCCATCACCCCAGCCATATTTTTCACCCACTTATTATTTTTATTTTCTTACGTCTATGCATTCATCAACTTGTAGTTTATATTTCTAATCCACCACTAAAATAAAAGTTCTTCCTGAAGTCACCTTATTACTAAATACTGACTTTATCATCTTTATCCCATTTCCCAAATTGGACTGTGGGCTCTATACTCCTCCACAGATGCCCACCTTTGCCACGTTCCCACTCTATGTAAAAGTACCATAAACAAAGACTTGTGATGACACATAGCTGGCAATGCTTGGTTGTCTGTTCAGTATTGTTCTACTCTGCTGAGCTATTTATGACACAGCTATGTGCTTTCCAACCTCCAGAAGTTGCTGATATATCTTGTCTACTAGTGTTCTTTTCCTGCTTTCTTGGTCCTTGTGGATTTAACTTTTTAATTCTGTTACCATTATCCAGATATATTTCGGAAGGAAATAGAGATAAATGCAACTTTTATTTGCTATGTTTAATGTACAACTTCTTCTATTTAATTATATGACTTTTTTTTTGTCACTGCTACTAGGATGTAACTATCTTCAGGACAAGGAATAAAGTGCTTGAAAGTACCCAATGCTTTCATCTGTTTTTTGTCCTCAATCAGTCCCTTTATCCCATGAATCTCATCGGGGCTAATGCCAGAATTATGTCACTATAGCCCTATATAAGGCACTGATCCTGTTTTATTTCCCCTCAGTTCAGTATACTTATCTCCATGGCGCATATTAATATGTAACATATCTCTAAAAGCAATAAATTAGTAATCCATTGAATGCTAGCCAACATAACCTTGCAAGCTACCACACGTGGGCCAAATCTATTCTGTTTATAAATCAAGTTTTATTGCAATACATCCACATTCACTTGTTTACATATCATCTATGGCTAATTTTACTTTATGTGGGGAAGTTTAGTTCTTGTGAGAGAGACAATAGCCCACAAAACTTAAAAGTATTTGGCTGTCTTCAGAAAAATCTGCCAATCCCTCACTTAAGCTTTCCTATTACTTAGGCAGATATTTCAGACACAAGCAGGCATGGAGACAAACTATAACTCAAAATGATCACATTGGTAATACACCCCACCCGCTGTGTTGCCCTTGTTCCTATAAGAACTACTTAACTACAACTACCATCTGCATCACCTTTATATTTTCATTCATTGACAAAGGTCACCCAATACTTTAATTACTTAGCTTTTCGGGGAAAAGTGCCTTCATGAACTGAATGTGTATGTAGTGCTTGGAATCCTAGCACTCAAGAAGTTGAAGCAGGAGTTCAAGGTGAGAATTTAGCTCAAAAATGTCTTCTGGTGGGGCTGGAGAGATGGCTCGGTGGTTAAGAACACTGGCTGCTCTTGTAGGAGACCTGAGTTTGAATACCAGCACCCACATGGTGGCTAACAATCACCTGTAACTCCACTTCCAGAGGATCTGACGCCCTCTCCTGTCCTCCTTGGGCACTGCATAACATGGGTGTACTTGCATACATGCACACATAACACTCATACACATAAAATAAAAAATAAAGAATTTTTTTTTCTAGCCAGGCATAGTGGCATGCCTTTAATCCCAGCAGGCAGAGGCTGGTGGATCTCTGAGATCAAAGGCAGCCTGGTCTACATAGTGAGTGAGTTCCAGGCCAGCTGTGGCTACAGGGAGACCCTGTCTCAAAAAGATAAAAAAAAACTTCTTTCTGTAGCGATGCTATTCCAACTAAGGCTGACCTATACAATATGGCTTTTGTCACACTAGTCCAAGATTTCTGGTACCTTAAGGCCTTTTACACTACAGAGATATTAGTATGTTTATCCTACTTTGTACACAGAAAACTGCCTGTACTTTTTATATACTACATCTTAACAAAGCGAGTCTTACCTCCTCAGCTTTGCTCTTAACCTCAGTTGGTATCTGGTTGTTCTTACGAATCTTCAACTGCTCTTTGGCTTTTTTCATGTCCTTCTCTACTCGTTGCCAGTCAACTTTGATGTATCCAGTATGGTTAGCCAACTACAATTCCAATAATAATAAAAAGAATAAGAAACAGGCTTTGCTATTTCTTTTTGGCCTGACAAATTATGAAAGAGGTAATCAAAACCCTTCTGACTTTCCATTTTTGGAGACATCTGCTATTTGGTTCTTTGATGACATTTAGGCAAAATATTCATAGTATATGTAAGGTTCTATGCTTGGCACTGGAAATAAATGACTATCGTCAATGCTAGCAACCTTTGAATTTTACATGCTTACCTTTTTTCTTTATGAACTTTTAACTTAGATTAAATAAAAAATGGTAAAATGAAAGTTAAAGTAGTAAGTTCACTGTAAACATTTTTATCAAGAAATTGTGAACAGGATAAAATTGATTAAACTATGTCGTTTCTGACATATTGGGGTTACCCAAGTAAAAAGGAGAATCATTGTAGCCCATCAACCAATATTCCATCAATAACACTGTTTTTTTCTGTCAAAATTTTGATGTCATATCTAAAACTGAAACACCTCATCTTTCTATCTAGAGTCTCCTTCTGAACTTGCTCTCCTTTTATACTTTTTTTTATTTACTTAATAGCACCACCAAATAACCCAAATAAACTGGAGAAAATATGTATATATTATAAGTAAAACATTAGCACTCATAAAAAGTAAAGTTCTTATAGAAATCAGTAAGAAAAAAAACCCCTAAAGATAGGATAGGTGTGGTGGCATATACCTTTAATCCCAGCACTTAGGAGGCAGAAACAAGTAGCTCTCTGTGAGTTCAAGGCCAGCCTGATTTATCTGTCTGAATAGAGAGTTCCAGATCAGCCAAAGTTACATAGCGAGACCCTGTCTTCAAAAAAAACAGTTAAAGGCAAAATACAGAATAAAGCTGCCAAGAAAAAGCAAAAGTTCAACTTTCACGAGTAATCGAGACAATTTAAAATAATGTACACTATAATTTTTTATGAAACCCGAAAATTTTAAAGTTTGAAAATATTCAATGTTGGTAAAGATATAAGGAAAACAGTCGTTGAGAGTATAAACTAGGCCTTTAAAAATTTTTAGCATTACCTACCAATTTAAAACTGTATGTGCTATTACATCACGTCCAGGATGACAGCATTTGTCATAATAGGTTTACTTATAACTGGAACTCAATAACTGGAAATAACCCATAAGTACATTACAAACAAAGCTACATATAGCAGCAGCATGGCTGAATATTAGAAACTGTACTTCATCCAATTCCTCCTACAGAATCATGTCAATAAAGCAACAAAATATACAGAACAACTATTTGCAGACTATGACAAGAAAAGTCCAGGTAGACTGCAGAGGACAAGAAATGAAAACATCACTGAACTGGTGGTATATTACTTTCTTTTTTTAACCATCTGGCCTTCCCTCAAAGCAGAACTCAGAAAATACATGACAAAATTAACACAGACTCATAATAAAACTCACATTAAACTAGGAACAGAAGGGAACTTTCTGAGCTTGATAAAGAACACCTGCTAAAAAAAATCCCTACCACTAACAATGTACACAATGATAAAAGAACAAATGAAATGCGAATAACAAGGCAGAGGTGTCCATTCTCTGTATTCCTATTCAACACTGTGCCAGAAGTGAAGATGTAGTCAGTTCAATAACGAAAGAAAAAGAAGTAATCCACCTAGACTGAAAGAGAAAGTCAAACTGCCCACATTCACAGACATCTTTTGTCAACAAAGAATTTCAACAAACTTCTACAGTTTAAAGAAGTGAATTTGACAAGGTCACAGAATACAAGCTCAACAAATCAACTGCATTTACATACAGCAGCAATTTGAATAACTAGAAATGGACATTTTAAAATGATGATAAACACTGCAAAAATAAATACTAGCTATAAACTAAAAACAACATGCAATAAAAGGCCTACAAAATATGAAGAAATAATTCAAGGGCAACCCAAATAGATCTGAAGGAAAAATGCCACTGTTCAGAGTGGGTATGGCTTTAGAGATTAAAAAAACACAAAATAGTGCTCGCTTCGGCAGCACATATGCTAAAATTGGAATGACACAGAGAAGATTAGGATGGCCTCTGCACAAGGATAACATGCAAATTCGTGAAGTGTTCCATATTTTGGAGGGAAGAAAACACACACACACACACACACACACACACACACACAATAATCCCAAATTTTCAGAAATAAAATTCTTTGGCAATGAGGCTGGAGAGATGGCTCAGCGGTTGAAAGCACTGACTGCTCTTGTAGAAGATCTGGGTTCAATTCCCAGCACCCACACGGCAGCTACGAACCGTCCTTAACTCCAGTTCCAGGGGAATCCGAAGCCCTCTTCTGACCTCCGCAGCATTGCATGACACAGGTGCACTGACATACATGCAGGCAGTACACTCATACACATAAAATAACAAATAACAAATAAAATGTTTTTTAAAAAGTGTTTGGCAAGATGGGTGGCTGAAAGAGCAATATAACATACCAACTGCATGCCAATATAGCAGAGTGGGTTAGAACAAGTAGTTTTAAAATGGAGCTATTTCTAAAATAAAAAAAAAAATGAGAAAGCCTAAGCAAGTGATGAAGGTCTGTGTAAGTTTGTTATATATATAAATACAAGACAAAAATAATATACACATAATCTTAAAATTTCTAAGGTCAAAGTGTAGTCAACTAGTTTAAGGAACAAAATATATGTCTCATCAAGGTTTATCTGAGAATGTTCAGTTTTTGCCCAAGCTTTATCTACATAGCACATGGTAATTAAAAGTACCAGACTGGTGGAACTAACTTTCTTGTATGTTTAACAGCCATACTTTGAGGCCTATGCTAATGTGCTCAGAGGGACTTAAAGGACAGATTTTTCCCCTTGCCCTCCAAGGTTGACTAAGTTCCAGGGGGCTATGGAACATCTCTCAAAATGTCCTGTAACTGTGGTGAGTCACCTGTCCTCTTGTTCAGGGAGGCCATGGAGACCCCACCAGATGGACTTGAAGCAGTGTCCAGTCTTAGAAAGTGGAGGGTCAACTCAGAGGAAACATCTCCTCCATGCTTCCAACAGTGAAGCCAGAAACGGTCCAGCAGGACCTTTGACTTATCTTCACATAGATGGAACTGGTAAAAGAAAGGAGCCAGGGGCTCCTCCCAAGCCCATGTGACCCCAAGGAACAGATCCTCAAATGGACTTAAGTGTAAAAATAACTTGATTTATTTGGGCCATCTGTATGGTCTTAAACACCCAAAAGGAAAGTATAACCAAAGAGTAAAGTCATCAGTATATTTCTTTAAGAGTTCAAGGGATTACACTTCCCAGACATTAGACTTAAGTCCATATAAAAATCTATTTAGACAATTATTTCTGGTTGATGATTTTGTTACTAATCAGAAAGTGCTGCTCAGATGTAAGACTTCACATCTTGGTCTGCAATACTGTCGTGCCCACCTGTAGCTAAGGGAGACAACCTGCTATTGCTCTAAAATGATGGATAAATTTGTTTTCTCCCCCTATCTAGAAGCCTTTGAGAGGGAACTGACACTGATTCTAACCACTCCAACAGCAACAAATCAAAATGCCTGAAAGCAAATCCTGAATCCATCACTCTGGAGTCCAGTCTTGGCAGACAAAAGAAAAATGAGGAGGAACTCAACAAAGGGATGCTTTTGGAAGTCCTTGTCAAGAATTCTAATGGACTCTCATATGAACATTTGAAATCTGCCCTGTTCTTTTTTCTAGTTTCCTCTCTAGAATTTGTAATGCTAATTATTCTTGCCCTTATTTCTCCTTCACATCTCCTATTCACCAGTCAAGGACTTTCTTTTCCTCCTACGGATAAGAGTTATGCAATTTGGGAGTCTTAGATAGAACCACTGAAGGGGTACCCCAATTGCCTCACCCTGTGTCCCAGTTCAGCCTGGAAGAAGCCAGAGTGGTCTCTGTTCCAAATCCCTATCCGCAATTTGGGTAATCTCTTCAGAGGATGGTGTGATAAGAATAGGGGGTAGGAATTAGCTAGGCATTTAGGGTAAAAAGATCCCAAAGAAAACTAGCCAGTTTCTTAGCTAAAATTCACAATGTCCTTGGGCCTCTTAGCAACATAGTCCATTCCAAAGCCCCGAAATGTCTAAAGCATTTCGGAGCTTTTTATCTAATCCTGAAAAGATTTTAATTGGGAGCTCTTATCTAATCCTTAAAAGATTTTAGGGTTACCTCTTCTGAGGGAGGAATGTTAGAGTAGTAGAAAGCTCCATTTAAAAAAAAGTACATTAAGTTACCAGAAAAAAGTGACGGGGGGAGGAGTTGAAGGGGAGGGAGTGGGTGTGGATTTGATCAAAACACCTTATTTGCATGCACGAAATTCTCAATAAATTATTTTTAAAAAGTAGCCCATAAAGCAGGGTAAGTTCCCATGAAATGATTTAAATTGGGGGGAGTCACTATGGGAGGGTGCCATTTGCGAAGTGGGTATATAGATGAGTAAGATTGTTTGGGATGGTCTGTATGATATACACACACAAAAATCAACAAATTTTAAAAAAGACATTTGAAGAAGCATAAAAATTTACTTCATGTTAATTAGTAGAGGTGATAAACATTACCATTGAAATCTACCTGATGACCTTTTGGAGGGTGCCATTTGCGAAGTGGGTATATAGATGAGTAAGATTGTTTGGGATGGTCTGTATGATATACACACACAAAAATCAACAAATTTTAAAAAAGACATTTGAAGAAGCATAAAAATTTACTTCATGTTAATTAGTAGAGGTGATAAACATTACCATTGAAATCTACCTGATATAGCCATACACAGGTGCCAAGGATCTGAGTGCAACCAAGTATGACTAGTAATAATCAGACAAATATAGATTAGAGATGCATGCGTCAACATCTCAGTGTTAGCAGCAAAAA